CTGCCCCCCCCCCCGTCACATCTTTTGCTCTTGCGGATGAAGAAAAGAGCGAGAGTCAAAAGGAAAAGCAGCCCAGCAGAAACGTGTGTACGCGTAAGAGCTTCCCGTGGACAGAGATTAAATTTTTAGACGCGAGTTTCAGGGTTTACCCTCCACCCTAAGATTTTTGTCCTCTTCGCTCCTGACTTTCCTCCCACGCTCGGCGCAGATAAAATGATTCCCAAAATGAAGTCCGAGTACCCTGGGGACTCCGATCCAGAGAGGGTGAGGAAATGAAGCCGAGAGAAGTCAGTTTAGAAACCAGCAGGTGGCGAAGGGATGATTGAATACCGGATTTTTTTTTTAATTGTTTTTGTGCTTTCCAGTCCAGTCCAGTCCGTGATGACTCCCAAAGAAAGCCTGGACAAGTCCCTGCAAATTTCTTGGCAGGAGTTTCAGAAGTGGCTTGCCCCTGCCTCCCTCTTAGGGCTGAGGGAGAGCGACTGGCCCAAGGTTAGTTACCCAGCTGGCTCTGTGCCTAAGGCAGGACTAGAACTCAGTGTCTCCTGGTTTCTAGCCTGGTGCCTTCACCACTATGCCAGACTGGAAATTTAGGATCATCAAAAGGAAATTTAGCATCATCAAAAGAGTCAAGCATTCCACAAGGCATGGGGGGAGAATCCAACTAGGATCCAACAAGTTGCTTAACTCTCTGGAGCTAAGTTCTGGCAGCCAATCCTTTAGTTGTTTTCATTTAATCCCATGCGCTCACCAAGAGATATACTCAAGGTAGCCTACATGACGATCTCTCCTAATCTTACTCCCACAGCAACCCTGCGATGAAGGTTGGGCTGAGCAACTTCCAAAGTCACCCAGCCTGCTCTGTGGTCAAGGATGGATTTTGAACCCAGGAAGTCCAACACGGTAATCTCTGTTGGGGAACCTTCTGCTGGAATGGGCTGCCTTGATCTCTAGGAGCTCTTTGAAGACACATCTGCTGCGCCCTAGTGTCCACTACTTTCTTCACCTTCCCTTCCTCACCAGTTCCTCAGGAAACCAGTCTTCATATGAGCACCGTTTGGATCATACACACCCCAACTTGAGGAGCAAAGAAGGGCAACTGCTCGGGCTGGTCAGTTGAATAGGAACTTGAGAACGTATGATGGCCATCAAGTCCAAAGACTTACCAGAAGGCAAGCTCAGAAAACTGATCCTTGCCCCAGCAGAATATACATTTTCTCCCAATTATCTGCACTAAGAATAGTAACATTGAAAAATAATAGGCCAATGACAAATGCACACTTTAACCATTGGCTGCTATAAAATATGGAGGCCTCTGAAGATTAGCAATTGAAAATCTGTCTTGGGAGCTGAATTTAACTCCCTCTGCAATGGGTGCCGCACAAGGCTTCTCTTTTCTCACCTCCTTAATGGCAGAGAGAACCATGGAGATGGCCTTGGAGAATATCCAGAAGTTATTATGGAAACAAGAAGGGCAGAAGCCTTCCTTAAGCCCTGGGAAAGAAGAGGGAGAGACTCAAGACTCCCTGGGGTGTAAGAGGGAGGGAAGTGAAAACAGAAGTGGGTTTGCAAGGTTCTGTTACTGTAGCCTCTCTAAAGAGTAAAGCTCTAGTCTCCCCATGGAGTCAGTTTCATGATCTGGTCTACCTCATAAGGCTGATGACACCTCTTCCCCTGCCTTATCGCCACCCAGTTTTGTTTCCCCCACTTTTCTTCCTGTCTCCCACCTTTTCTTTTTTGCTGGAAGAAGGGGATACGATTGTACTCTTGGGTGTGCACAAGGCTGTATGCCTGCCTACATACGTACCTGTGGATATGTGTCACAAATGTTTTTTAAAAAATGAGTATATTATGTATTTATTTTTTTGAAGGATGAGAGAAATCTCCTGGAGGGAATTGGAGTTGGGCATGGCACAAGCCTATAATTTGACTATTCTTCCTTGGAGAGGGTTGTCTTAAATTCAAGATAATTTCCCTTTTCTTCCAGGCCAGCAGACATACTTAAAAAAAAATAAAAAAAATAAAAAAGCATTCGCCTGTAGCCTCCTGCAGCCTCCTGCTATTAAGATGTAAAACAAAACAGATGAGCAGAAACTCTGATAAGGCCAAGATAAATAGCTACAAGGCATTAGTACCAATGTGTTTCCCCCCCCCCCCCGCTCTTTGTTCACTTAAGTTAATGAAGTCAAAAAATGATTGAACGTGGATAAAATATTGAAGCAATGTTTGTTCATAGGCGTTAACTGATTTACTCTCTTGCTTACTAGGAAATAGATGGGATGGGCTCACTTCCATTTGTGGGGCTGAGGTCCCCATTCCCTCTGCTAGTTTAGGAACCGACTTTAGTTTCCCTAATACGACTTTAGATGTAAGAGTCTCTAGGCTTAATGATTTTGGTATTGGTGTAGATCAGTTTCTAATTACTATATGCAGTTGGAAGAGTATTTATACTTGTACAGATTTTCATTTGACATTTAAAAATCCAGGTGAGAAGTTATACAGGTGGAGAATTTCCTATTCAAAATTTTCTATCAACTACCAAAAAAAACCAACTACTTCATCACTGGTACACAACCCTTTGGGGAATTGTAAATAAATACATCCTCATTTGCAAAGAGGTCTTTGAAGATATATATAAATAATCTCTTTAATTTTTGTATTTCTTATAGTCCTTTGTATATTTAGTACTGAAATTTTAACTTTTAAACACTTGTGTTTCAATATTCTAATCCATTCTATGCATGCTTTGGAATCTGCTGAATTCGATGGAATGTGCCTACGAAGGGGGAGGTGATGTGATGGACCACAGTAACACAGGAGGTTCTCAGGAAGGAGGGAGCACATTCCAGGAAGGGAGGCAAGATAAGAGACAACACAGTCCGGAGCAGGAGCGTGGGAAGAGGAAGAGATTTAGGATAGCTGCTCCCTAGAATCTCCCAGGGTATATCCACTAGGTTAGAGTAATACAGATTTAGTCGGGCAAGATTCTGCCTACATGGTGTAAGCTATAAAAGAACTGGACTTGGCTGGACTGTTTCTCTGTTGTTGGGCTTGACAGAATTTGTACTTTGGTGCCTCATCTTGGGAAATCAACATTCTATTTGGCTTGAGGTTCACTGATTTTGCTTTACTGGATAAACACTTTTTTTTTCATTAAAATTTCCAGCATGGAAAATATTAATTTAAAACAAGTTTCTTAGTTTATCAAATCATAGCAGCAGATGCAAAAGTCCCTCATATTAAATGGCATAAACATCTCTTTCTAAGCTGCAAAATTTAAGGAAAAAAAGCAAACTAGATCAACTTTGTTTTAACGGAAAGCAGGGGCATAACACCCACATTTTTCTGATTCCATTATCTATTATACTTTTAAATAAATGAAATTGGGCACGGTCTCATAGGAGATATCACATGGTTTCGAAAATATTTTTCAAGCACTACTCATCTATGATAAGTAAGAACATTAAATCAAATCCCTATACAAAATTTGGAGATTTAAGAGTCAGATTGAGGATTAGTACACTGAAATCAGGAAAACAGAATTTGAAAAGTCCCATTGATGATTAAATATAATTAAGTCTGTGTATAACCCAGCTTTTTTCAGTTACAAAAAAGATGGGACTTTCTGTTAAATTCTTGCAAGGCCTTGCATCTCACCCACTTCCTTGCCTCAAGGCCAAAGTACGTAAGTACTAAATGTGTCTCATTATTTCTACTTATGGAATCACCAAAATCTTCATAATCTAATTAGCATTAGATTACCAGAAAAATGATTAAGGAAAATTTAGAAGGCACTGACTACTTGTTAAAACCAGTTTTTGAGAAAACACCAATAATCCATATTTCTCATGTGAAAAATATCTTATTAATCGCTTGGTTTTTAAAACACATTAACACTCTTCTGTTTTAACTAATGAACAGAAACAATGGTTATGAGCAATGTCTTTATTAGCTAATCAACATCAACATGCAAAAATAAATGCTAAATACAAAGTCTATCATATGGTTTTGTTCCTACTACAATGGGCTGTCTGGAGAATGATAAGGATGTGATTTGTAGCTGTTAAAATTGAACTAATCTTTTCTGTAATGAATACCCTAAAATTACATAATTATCCTGCAAGGCATCTTCTTCAAAACTTTCCCAACACTTAAGGTTACCAGCTGATTTTCATGTGAATACATTCTCAAAGCAAGAAATAAGGCAGTAGCACTAAATGGTTTGATATTGAATCCTATGCACATAGTAACTAATAAACAAAGGTCCTTAACACTACGGTCAACTGGAAGGAGGACAGATACACAAGCAGCACATTGTGCCTGCAATGTTACCAGTTCTGCGTTTATGCAATCTTCCTAAGATGCTTAAAGTATGTAGCGTTTTTAGGGAAGAGAATAAACCCTTCTATATCTTTTCAAAGGAACTCTGAATTCCTCCAGGATCAATCTTGTGTTCGCATTCATCAAGCATCTATTCACAGAATGAATTACATTGGCCATCTTTTAAAGGCAGAGTGAAAGAGGATACCAAACAAAAGAGTTTGCTAACAGAGATGAAGGAAGCGCACTTGAGGCCCACGTCACACTCGGGCCCAATAAGCATGCTTCCGGTTTGTGTGGCTCATGGTGACAACCACATCTGAAGGGGAAATGCATATGCACACACTCACTCACATGTCCTTGAGGACACAGGATGGACACACATTGGGAAGCTGAAACCTACTCCAGCTCCCTGATGCATGTATTTCAGATTTGCATATTTAGTCCCTCCAAATAATACAATATTTCACACATGGGTATAAACAGGTGATACAGAAAACTGAAGTGAGAAGTGGCCCTTTGAGATCTACTGTAAGTTTTTTCTCATGTGAAATGATCTATTTGAGTAAGCTGCTGCTGCTGGATGAGTATTTGAGAAAAATCCAATTATTGTTACAAAATCCAAACATTCAAAATTTGTTCCCTCCGAGTGCAACTTTTTTTTTCTTTCGTCACACTTCCTCACTTTCTAAGAGTGTATATTTTTGCTCACTGATCTTTGGTCGCAAGAAAAAATGCCACCAACAAGTCTGATTCCCCCCCTCCCGGCCCCGAGAGTCGCAGCTCTCTTTGCCATACTCAAGATCTTTCTATAGGGCACTGCTAGAATAAATTGTGTCAAAATCCAGTGGCACTTCATTGCGTGTGAGAGGGGTTTACATAATGTAGACCTTCTCAGCTTGAGAGAAGTTGAAGACCTCTTTGGTTCTTGGGCAAATTACTCTGTCATCTTGACGAACAGAAAGCAAAGACTGGAACAAAATACAGAAGAAAGATCAAGGATGTCTCAAACTAAAACATTCTTCTATCATTCAACTACTATAATCTTAACTATAAACTAAGTACAGAATTTAAAGAACAAGAAAAGATCTCACAGTTCATAAATCTATATTCCAACTTTACTCTAGCCTAAAAACATAAAGGCCAGCATCTGTCTAGTTTTTTGGTAACTTTTGTTTCCAAGCACCGATTCAATTTTCACTCCAATTCTGCCCTTATCACTGTTTATATTCTGAAGTAGCCTGACTGGAAAAATCAAGGAGTAAACATGAACTGGCATCTTTATTGATTAGACAACTGAGCCAGAAAAATTAAAAGATTTCAAGTCGCACAACTGTTCAAAGATGCTGACAGAGTAGTGTCAGTACACTATGGGTACGCATCTAACAGAGAATGTATTTTGTTTTATGCATTTCAGAAATCCTGCCAAACTGTTCAGAAAGGCTGCAGCTCGGCAGAAGTGAAACCCAAACCAGTTTGGTTGTTCTGGATTTCAACCAAAACAAAATCCAGAAGGGTCCTTTGGGGTGAGGAGGATAAAACCAGTGCGCCTTGCTCCATTCTCCCCTCCTCTTCTGCCTGTCCATTCACTGATCTTCCCAAAAGTTCCTTTCCCTATCTCCTCCTAGTTACCACTCCCTCTCCTCTTCCTCCACATGCTGTGTGCACCCAAATCTCCCCAGTCCCTTACTTTCCCCAGCTTCCCTTAGCTGCCCCATGCTGCAAGTCTGTTCAAAACTGGATGTAACTGTTTTCTTCCAAGTTTTAAGGCTGCATTCTACTGTCAAGCAACCTAGTGGTCAATCAGTTCTACAATTCTTGACAGGACGTTCAATCCAAAAAGTGTCTTTGGGATCTCTACAGTCTGCATACCTACAATATGAAACAAATCTCACATTTTATAACAATTTAGAAAATTTTTCAAAGGGTCCTTCAATATTAATACAGCTTCTCAGTTTTTCAACACTTTACAGGCAATTCCATTAAAAGGTCATGAACTCTTTAACAACCCAACACAGTCCAAAATCAAATTAGAATGGTTCTGAGCTACACTTACATTGTATCCATACACATATCCATTTGGAAGCATCATGGGAGGATTATTTTCATTCATCACGTCTCCTGAAATCTTGCAGACTAGTCGGGAGTTGGCACAATGCGCCATTGGCAGAGGCTGAGCCAGCTTATTTAGGGATTTGCTACACACAGGGCAGTCAGGATTTTTTGAACTGCCATCCTCTTTATAACATTGTCTGTTTAAAAACAAGTTAAAGAATAATAATAGGAAAAATATTTAAAATGATAAGACACTGAAGGCAGAATACAGTTGTCACAGATAACTCCAGAACTAATATGAAATGACACAGATTTTTTTCAACGTTGGCATATCAACAGCAACCAGTTGTGTATTATTTGTATAGTTCCACACTCCCTGAAGCAACTTTAAATGTTGAAATATCTTTAAGAAGCCTCGATATTTGATAACTCAGCATGTATGATTCAAATCTGTTCATTTTTACTAAGCACAAAAAGAGACATTTGGAATTTTGATCAAGTGTATTACAAGGAAACAATCTCCCAATTCATCTCAAGATGAAAGGCTGCATTTTTCGCATTCTGTATTTTTGTAGAATGCAAAGTATGAAAGCTACTTGCTCTGATTATTGTTTGAATTAAAGACAGCTATTATCAGTACATATTTGCCAAACAGCAGTTTAGGAAAGACGCAGTCCGTTAAAGAAAAGGCATAATTTTTAAAGACCAAAGAGTATACGTTGAAGGATACGGTGTTTTTATAGCTGAAAGCCCAGCCTGGAGTGTTATGGTAAAGACAGAGTTATTCCCCAGTTGATGCAATCTGTAGTTATCATATCTAAACTGCTGGATTAGCATCCTCCATCGAGCAGGATCCAGAAGATCCTGGGGAGAACACATAAAAAGCATAAGGTACATTGAGCACAGTTTCAAACTATTAAAATATAAATTATGTATTGTATCCACAAGACCAAATAAATAGAATACATTTAATTAAGAGTAAGGTTGGCTCTATGCTGAACAGTAGTCTCTCCTTACAAAACTCTTCAGCACAGACCTTAAGAGAAGCATGTGATAATACCAGTCCAATACAGAAGTTGCCTTCTGTATTATTGCCTTGCAGGACAAGCCGTTAGTCAGAAAAGGTGCTACCAGGCTCCTGATTTTTTTCTTGCAAGAGTAATTCGGCAGGATTTGGTCATCTGTATAAGTCACACTATACACCTCTTCTCCCCACTGTCCTGAGATTCTACTACTGAACTTTGGCAATAAAATGGGTGAAATTTTATAATATGGTTTTCAAGATGGGAATGGAAACAGAAGGCTTCTGAGAGTTGATCCACTGCCATTCACACCTGTAAAATCCTGAGTTGTCACCCGAAACCATAAAATGGAAATTTAGTGGCAAACGGCCAATTTCAGCAGTGGTACTTTGGGGCAAAAATATTTAAAAGCAGAGGCAAAAGCACGGGGAAGAAGTGAGAGCTTGTGAGAAAGCCCCTTAAGCAGATTTAATAAAACATACAGAATAAAACATTAATCTAAATTACATTTCTGGATTTCATTCCAGAACAGGAAACTGACATTAAAATGATTTCACATTTACTTCTTTTTGCTACCGCTTGGCTAAAGATCACAGATGTTCCAGTTTAAGAAGAGAACACAATTCAGAAAAGGAAGATAGATATCTACTACTTGTTCTGCTGACACGCATACCCAACAGGATATAACTCTTAATTTTTTTTTACGCTTGGAAGAAGAGAGCATTCTGACCTATCTGTTTGTCAGAAAATCACCTACTGAATTAATCTATTTGCCACTGAAAAGGATTTCTTTCATTTAAGAGATTCCTTCCAAAATTCTTTATTCTAAAGAGAAAGAATGCAACCCATAGCAATCCCAGCCAGCACGGCCAGAGACAAGGAATCCTGGGAGTTGCAATTCAGCAGCATTTAGAGGGCCATTGGTTCATCCCCAACTTCTAGAGAAAGTCAACTCAATATGATGCAAAAGATTTGTATGATTTGAAGAGACCCCACAGTGCCTGTTAAGGATTTTGCTTCAACTGACTGAAAGTAAACATTTTGTAGCCAGTGGATCAGCATATAAGATCCAAGGACAGACAATATGGTATTTGAGGGAAGCAAATGGACCATCTGAACAGATATGGACACCCAAGATAACTGCAAGTATAATGCAGATCTGAACATGCTTACAACTCTTCACTTAATATTTTCAAATTGTCAGAATAAGAATCATGATAATCAAACTTCTCAACTGTCATTATGGAAAACAGATCTTCACAAAAAAATGCTAAAACATACAAGCAAATTAAGCACTTCTCAATTTTAATTATGGATATCAGCATACATCCTCATGCATTATTCAAGAGCATGTTACCCTTAGCAACATTAACCCCCAACCTTTTCACAAAATTAAATGGAAATCAGTATACCTTGTAAGGAGAGATATGAGTATCAGAAGGGAAGGCCAACATGCCCATCACCTGCCGCACTTCATCCAGCTGACTTCCCTCAGCCTGGCTGAAATGTTTTCTTGCATGTCTGAAATACAAGACACAGAATATGGTTTCTTTCACGCTCATTCCTTCATTTTGTTTTGAGGTGTTTCTGATACGTTTTGCTTATGTTAAAGTTCTATACACCAAAGTTTCTCAACCTCAGCAACTTTAAGATGCGTGGGCCAACTCCCAGAATTCCCCACCTGGCAGGAAGCTTGCTGGCTGGGGAATTCTGGGAATTGAAGTCCACACATCTTAAAGTTGCTGAGGTTGAGGAACACTGCTATACACAATCCAAAAAGTACAATACTTAATCTTACAGAGATATATTTTCTAACCAAAATCTTATGAACCTCCGAAGTTTTCCAAATCATTAAAATCAGTTGATTTCTGAACCACAGTTTTTTATGTGCATTAGATAATATTTAATAAATATGATTAAAACCATGGCTTTGCAAAGACTGGAAGGCTTCAAAACTTCTAGGAAGCATACTTTAGCATCTGCTGCCCATAAAGCCCTTCTTAGTTCAGGGCTTGGGTGTCTGCAGGACCATCTTCCCCTAGTAACACCTGCCTACCCCAAACGCTCTAGTAAGGTGGGCTCTTTACATATCTCCTTGATCAGAGGCTGCTGTCTTCAGTGACCATAGAGAGACATGGAGGCACGCCTTCTCAGTCACTGCCCTCTTCTCTGGAATAGCATCTCACTCACCCCAATATTTGAATAGCCCCCTTTCAATAGTGAAATCTTGGCTGTTTCATCAAGCCAGGGAAAGGGGAGGAGCAATTCAGTATCAATATCCCTCCTGATAATGAATTGATTTTATTCTTCAGAGTATGACTCCTGTTTTAGGTTATTATAAAGTATGCTTTTTGTTTTCAAATTTGATTTTTATTGTTATTTTAATCCCAATTATGTATTGGGAAACTGTAGGCTGCTTGGAGTTAGTTGACTGGAGCAGGCTAGAAGTCCTGTAAGTGTGCAAATAAATACATAAATAAATAATTCACATGTAGACTTGCACACTCCATTGTCTTCCCTCATCCCTTACTGGTTAACATTAAATTTGCTACCTAATGCCTGTAACATCAGAGTCCAATTGGATCAGGCCAAAACTGCATCTAATCCAGTATTCTGTGTTACATGGCAACCCTATGGATGCATTCAGGAAGTTCACAAACAGGAATATTACTCTCACTCCGGTGGGAGGAAAAATGCTGGCGGCACTTTGCAAAAGGAGTCAGGAGCAGTTGCTGGTAAGCGTGAAACCGCGCTCACCCAAAAAGGGCGCAAAGCAACAG